TACAATAAAACGAATTAAATAATGTAAGTTAAGCGTTACGAAATTTCTTTCGATTGTTACTTGTAAATATTAATTGTGTTATTAAACCATGTATGGTGGCTTGCCATATATGTATGGATTTTCTAAATTTCGTCGCAGCTATTTCATTTCATTTTACCAGAATTTGGAAAATTATACAAAATAACTTTGCATCAAATTAAACCAGTCAGTCCAAATTTTATCTATTAAAAAGGAATTAACCGAATAATAAAGCTTTTAAATTTTTTAATTCGATCAATTAATTACTTCTATTTTTAATAAATGAAAAAATTTAATTAATTTTTACTTTATATTGCATAATAAATTAAAGTTACTCTTTACATCTGATTTTACACATTTTATAATATAATGTATAAATCAAAACTACTATAAATGCGACTTATTGTTTTTCTTTGAGTTTTTAATTATTGTCATTCTGTTCAAAGAAAATTCCATTATTTTTACAGATATTGAACTGTATCTGACAATAAAATTATAATTAATTTAATTAATTCTAACTAATATATACAAATATTCAATACCGTTATGGAATTAAAATTCCATACCGATATGGTTTTTGTGAGGTTTTGCTATTAAAATCACGTTACGGTTAATAGCAAAATCTCCCATTTATTGAAATTTATTATTTAAATAATTGAATGTTGCGGCAATATATGGGAATTATGGGTCGACATATGGACCTCCGAGAAGACCCTCCGTCAAATTTTTTTTTTTTTTTTTTGATTTATATTAGGCGACATATAATAATAATCTACTTTTTTATTCATAAATATTCAAATAAGTTTTTTTTGAAAAAAAAAGATCGGCAATATAAATTAGTTTAACGTTAATGGTCGTACAAAATGAAATATGACAGATTTTTCTAAAAATAAACCGTAAACAATTATGTAATTTTATTACGATCAAATTTTTCTTTATGACCATATATAGCACAATAATGTGTAACATCATAGTGTAACACAATGGTCGGATCCATTATATTCCGCGACTAGACCAAAAATTTTCAAAAGCGTTTTTTGACATTATGAGCCCATATATCTTGGGTACCACGGCCACATTTTTTTTGTCCCAAAAAAAAAAAAAAAAAAATGAGTGAATTGCGTTCTTCAAATTCGCAAAACCGTTTCATCGGTGTATTGCTACTTTTCGTAATAACGATTTTGTGTTCTTATCCAATATGCACGGTAGCACAAACGAGAACATTTTCATATCACGAAAAATTCGGTTATGGACCAGAATCACAACCTCTCATTTGGAAACAAAGCGTGTACGAAGATGGTATGATTGTATTGAGGGTCGTCAGAAGAAATCATGCCTCAACTGGTGGGATCTGTTTTTTAGAAATGCTTTCCTTGAGAATCATTCATCCTAATGGCACAGTCGATGAGTTGGATATCAATTTAGAAATTCAATCATTTAATTATTGTAAAAGGGGTAATGCCGAATATTTGGATTTTCATTTGATTATTAATGATCAAATTTTAGTCACTTATCATAATGCAACTGATCCTAACGATGAAAACACATATGAAGAATGGGGAATGATCATTGATTTCGATGGTAACGTTAAAAGTAAAATATCACTTGGATTCAAATTTGTTGAAGAAAATGTAAAATATAATTTCAAGGCTCTTTCAGAACTTAAACCAAGTAGGGAAATACTACTAAATAATAAGAGAAATGGGTTCCTCAGAATAGCCGTCATTAAAGGATCAAGAAATACGGGATGGAAACAATTTAAGGTTGGACTTAACGGAATAATTACTGGATTAACTGATGGAATAATTGAATCCGAGAACTTTTCAAACTTATTGTATGATATTATTACAACATACGAAGGTTATGCTATCGTCTATGCAAATACAACAGCGGCAACAGTCCCATTGTCGCCTCGATTGGAATTATTCGTCATTTTCATAAGTGATCATAAAATGGCGCATGCTTCTTTGTTACTTTATCAGAATCAATTGCCAAACCTATCATTGGGCTCACTTTTTTGCGATATTTATTACATAAGGACCGGATATCAATGTATTTTAACGATAAATCAACAAGACCCTTCTGGATCAAATTTAGAAAATTTATTTGACGTTAAAATAAATTTCCTATCTTCTGGTTCAATCCCTTCACTCACGACAATCAAACGTTCCTCAGAAATTAATGCAACTCAGAATTGGGACGTCATGTTTTTACCATTCGGTGGTTATATTCTCAAGAATGCAAATGAACGTTCGGATGATATTATATATCACATACTCGACGAAAATGGTACAAAAAATAGCACTTTCATGGAATCTAAGTCAGCAAATGAAAGCCCTTCAGCAATTATATTACTTAACAATACTCTCCTGATCCCTAAAACGGAATCCAACAATACTTGGGCATTAACATGTATTGATTTGCCTAAACTTTCTGCCGGTAAAGATAATGGATATTATAATGTAAACGTGCGGTCGACATTCCCGGAAATTAATGCTTCAGTAAATTCAGATATACCGAATGTCGTAATTGATTTTTATGATCCGGTAGAATTATCGGATGGAAGTTTGTTGATATATCAATTATCTAATGAGGAAAAAATATTACGCCAAATAACTCTTGGACGAAACTGTTCATTAACTGATGATAAAAGTGTTATTGTAGAGATATTTAACACTACCTTTGATGAAGGGATTTATTTTATAGAAATGGATACAAATTTCGTTATATCTTATGCTTATAAAGAACCTTTATTAGGCATTAATGAAAACGTTTGGCATTTTAATGTTGAAAAGATAAAGAAAGAGTATGACATTACGACTTCAACAACGGGTTTGCTTAGATTAACCACAAGAGGAACAAAAAGATTTACAAACTTATCAGAAAGTGAACGAGAACAATTTTTAAATAATTTGTTAGTTGAATTGGCCGATACATGTCTAATATCGCAAGATCGTTTGAAAATAGATAAGGTTGCTCAAGTTGTTACAAATGAACAACAAATAATTTCTATAAGAATTGAAGAAAATAAAGAAAAAGATGAAAAGGATGTCGTTTCTATAATAAATGATCTTAATTTTACTATTACACATAAATTTCGAACTCATATTGGACAAGGTCAATTTACCAAATCCATAGAGCAAAATTATGGTTTCATACCTGCACGTATGTTTTTTATTTTTATTTGATTTGATTTGGAATGTTTATTAAAATAATGATTCGTTTAAAAACTGAAATCAATTCTAATATATTTAGGGGATCTATGGCAAGAATATAAATGGAAATTCATAGCTATGATTTTGGCCATCATATTATTGCTTGTTCTTTCAACGCTTGCCTATATAAAAGAAAAAAAGGTAACTATAATTTAAATAATTATCTACATCTTTCTTTTTTTCTTGCTTCCGAATTAAACATTTACATTCGAAATCCATAGGGTAATAAATTTGCCATTTTTCAACTCGGTCTATTTATTTTAGACCTGGTTATGGACGTTCTCTTTGTAACATATAACGCCGACAATTTTCCAGAGTTTAAAACTCCAAGGTGCATTACAAAATGCGTCTTTATTATTTGTTACAATTAATCTTGGTTATTCATTAACTTTTTTTTATTATTATTCAGTTTAATATTTATTACCATCCCAATAGGATTAAATACGATATCGGCCTTTCTTATTATAACAAAAGAAAATGCTAGTCCAGAATTTAATCGATGGTTTACGGATAATCGAAAAGTTGCAAGTATTTTCACCATATTATCAGGAGCTGATGTTGAAGTATTAAACATATTGCAATCAAATATAGCGGGTCTGAAATTTTTTCAGGCTCCCTTTTCCAATTCAGCTAAAACAAAAATATTTTGGATCTCTTGCTTAAATATCATTGTTGAAGATATACCTCAATTAATTATACAGGCATTTTATAAATTTTTAAATTATGATGAATGCAATTATTAATAATGTACATTAAATTTATGTTAATTTCATTTTTTTTTTAGATCTTGTATAGACAAAGGGCAAGAAAAACGCTCACATATGAAGACGATATTATTCCCATGTTGACTTTAACCTCCACGACATTAAACCTTACAATTAATGTCGTAGGACGTTTATATAAAATAACAATTTCTATGCTACATACAAACCAAATCTTACCTATTCGTAATATCAACAACAATAGAAATTTGGAAATGGTACAAGGAGATAATGATACTTGATTCGGATTTAATTAGAATATTTATTTTAATGATTAATTATTAACTTTGAAATATCGATAATAACCTAGTATTCATTGGCCTCAATTTTTTTTTTTGATTTTAATCTTATAAAGTCACGCAGATGTATTATAAATTTTGTTTTTAGGCTTTACTTTAAAATGATTAAAATAAGGATTATTAATTTGAAAATTATTAATTTATATAAAACGCATAGTAAGCTTGTTCACCGTTGATATTTAATTAATAATTATAAAAGTGCCTTTAAAAAAAAAATGGCCAGAACCTTACATGTAATGTAGCAAACAAACAAATCACGATTAAAGCATAAAAGCTAAATTTTTTTACATTAAAAATGACAAAGTTATATCCAATCAGGATTCATCATTATTTGATGAAAGATCCTTTAATAAAAATGGATATAAATTTTTAATGTAGATCGAATCAAAACTTTTTTTTTCCTCTTTTCCTCTAACCGTAAAAAATGAATACTATCTTTTACTTGACTTTCATGCTTTGTATCATATACTTATATTTTTCGACTCCTATCATTATTTTCATTATCCTCCTTATTACAATTTGGCTTTTACGTCAAAACTTTAATCATAAAATGTCGACCAACCTAGGCAATTTTACTAATGATACAAAAGAAATTATTTTCGAGTGGGCAAAAATTGTTCAAGAGAAGTATAATTCCGAGAATTATTTCAGGGATATTCTACTCATCATTGAGTGGGATGAGGCAGGACTTCGACAAAGAAACATTCCGAAAGCTGCAGTACTGAGTCGTATGTCTAAAAATGATTTTTGCAACGATTATAACCTTTCCTTTTGTCCGTTTTATTAATAATATCGTATTATATTTTAACCAGTTATTCGTGGAGTTTCAGATTGTTCTCCTTTTCCAGCCAATGTTCAACCTCCATCGAATTTTATTTTTTCTGTTGTCGATACTCCTGATCATCAAGCACATCAGACAATTAATAATATTTTATCTAGGTTGCAAGTAGCGCTTTCACAAAGTAATAAGGCTTCTTTGGGAAGAGTGTATCTTGTAATGGCTGGAAAAAATAATTCATTCAGAATTTCTGAAGTACTTAACATTTAACAACAAACTGCAGACTTTACAAATAATAATAATATTATTAGCAAAATCATGATTATTGTTTTCTAACTGTGAATCAGGTATTCATGCAACTAAATAAACGATATTAGCATCTAAAAACCGATCGCGTGTGAGGAGTTGTCTTGTATTTAACAAATTACCATGACGAAAAAAATTATTCATGAATAAAGGCATTAATATATCAATAATATATTTGCAAGACATCCATATGCATACTTATATATTTATAAGAAGCTCTAATCGTTTCATCTAATTCTAAGAATTCCGATATTTCTTGCTATACGAAATATTATCTTAAGAATGTCTTGGACCGATCTTTTTAGATGCATCATGAGGAATCAAACAACGATTCACTTCTTTTTTGATTGGTAGGGATACAAGAAATTTTCGTCAGGGAATTTTATATTTTTAAGTCAACAATGAGTAGAAATGATTTAAAAAGTTGATCATTATTTAAATTTTTAGCGGAGCGGAAATTAAGCGAATAATTTATTAAATTAGAAAAATTCAATATTAACATGAAGAATATTCCTAAAATAATTGCACGGATAGTAATACGGTTACCAAAATGGAAATATTCATATAGAGGTTTTATATTATTTATTTCATGGGAGTTGAAATATTATGTTTTTAGGATTTTTTTTTTCCCCTTCGGGACGTTCGGAAAAAAAAAAAAACACGGTATTCACACCAGCATGAAATAAATGGTAATCTCACAAAGGATCATAAGCTGGTTGTTGGTGTTATTAGAGTTAGAGGTTGGAACCGGTTAAAGTATCTTCTACTTAATATATCATTTTCCTAAAATAAATTATAAGAATAAAACATATAAAGTAATAACAATTCTTCTTTACTCAGGATCAAAATTTCTAGTTGTCTTCGTTCTGAATGCAACTCGTCAATTATTCTTTCGTCATTTCAATATGCACATTTTATTTAAGTCAGCGAGGGCTCATATGCCGGAGGTTGCTAGTAGTGTTACTGTTGCTTGTTGGTTGTAACTGTCGTTTTCGTTGAGTAAGAAGTTGGAATCAGTTAAGGTTTTCTTTAACCGGTTCCAATCTATAGTTGGTGCTGTTGTTGTTGTTGGCAAAAGCGAGTAGCCACTTGGACTTCTAGCGTTGTAATTCTTTTGTTTTCCTCGCTTAGACATTTTTTTGAAAATTTTAGGAAAAAAATGAATTTTTTTTCTACGTAAAGTCGATTTATTTATTATATTTGATAATTAATTTATACAGTTAGCGTTGCTTTTGCTGAATATAGTTTATTGGTTACTCGTTTAGACATATTTTTTTGAAAATTTTTAATAAATTTTATACTTGCGCAATATATTCTAAAAAATTTATGTTACACGAGATAATTCTAATAAATCTTATCATAAGGGACATGAGAAAAAAAATATTCACACGTGAAAGTTTTTCTATATTTTGTCCTCTTAAAAAGTAACTTGGTATATTCTTAAATACACTTTTGAAGTAAATGCGGAGTCTGTCAATTGTCACTGTTTTAATATACTAAGACTTTTTTATAAACTTTGTTATTAGCTGAAATTTAAACTAAATCAAAATGTTCAATTGGACGAGAAGTATTTTATATTAAAAAAAATGTAAATCCTTATTAAATGTATTTTTTTTTGTTCTATTTTTTTTTAATTCATTTTAAAGATTTTATTTTTTTTTTAAAAATATTATTTTTTAACTCATCATATGTGACTGGATCAATCCGGATGGACACATAATACTCATTATCGTTTAGTAGAATTTCCTGCAATATTCAAACGTTGGCACGCCATTAGTATCCTGATGAGATACTGTCGGTCACAGTCAGGTGTAGAGTCTTACAAATGGTTGTGTCTGTCGTAATGTATGAAGCTTCAATCTGTAAGTTTAAATGATTAATTACAAAATCATGGGTCTTATTTAACAACTAATAAAAAGAATGTGCAATTTATACTAATCATATTTGACAGGACTTTTCCAAGTGGGCCCATAATCATTTAATGAAATTTCCTGTCCAAATACTAAACACCTAGTTTAGAGATAAGTTTAGTTACATGATTAGAGGTGGTGAGTTGAACCTTTGTAACAGGAGGAGGAAATATATCGAAGGTAGTAGATTTTTTGAAATATCATTCATTAGTCACGGAAAGCGTGGTTAATAAAATGCAAAATAGTCAGATTGTTATACTCTGTAAATTATTCGAGACGTAGAAACCTCATATCTTGGAAAACATATTTTCTTCACAGCATAATTGAGATAGAAATAGCTGACGAAAAAGAGTTATAAATGACCTAATCTAACAAAATTAAAATCAAGAATAAATATTCAATGAAAATAAATATAAAAATTGAATAAATCGATGTTAATAATAAACAAATAAAAATAAATAAAAATTAAACCAAAAATAAAGGAATCATAAATCGAAGCAAGAAAATGAAAATAATTAATTCAACATAAAAGCTACCACCACGTAAACACAAAATTACCTCAAGTAAAGTCCGTCAATTAAAAGAAAATTAAATAGGAATCTCAGACTGGGTCTAATAAAAAACGAAAAAGATAACCAAAATAAATGGGTTCATCTTGCGAATTTATTAGACGATTACTACAATAATCACGTTTCTGATTTATCACGATTACTATAATGAATATTTAAGACGATTTAAGGGGATTTTAGGAGAAAAATGGATTGTATTTTTATTATTTTACATGGTTTTTCTGTTTTTTACTTATATTTTTTAGATAAAAAATTAATTAGTAGGTTTTGGTAATATTTATGTTATGTTTTTGCAAATTATATTAGGTTTTTATTATTAATAAAATTATAATATTTAATAAATTCAATAAATATAATATATCGATTTTATATACTTATTTGATTGAATTGATACTAAATTGAGGTCAATTTTAGGCTGATTTATGATTATTTAAATTCTGAATTGATGCCGAATGATGCTGAATTGAGATCAATTTTAGGCTGATTTATAGTTATTTAAGTTCCGAATTGATGCCGAATGATGCTGTATTAAGGTCAATGGCTAAAGCATTATTGCATTAATTGAGGCATGCTGCAACTAAGCATTTATTGTTTAATTATAGTAGGGATAGTCATATATAGTCTAGGAGCCGATTATTCTCTCCCTTGCAAGTTCTATTTATAATTAATATAATTGCAGCAAGAGTAAACTGTAATTATATTGATTTTGTTCTTTTTTACAATTCATAGCGAGAGTAAACTGTGTTTTGTATTCTTTTATTTTTTTTATTTTTTGGACTGTGAATAATACTGACGTTCTTGTCGTATAGCCTAGGTACTATTTTATTTTAAAAATAGTAGCAAACAAGTATCATATTTATTTTTAATATTTTCTTTATATTCTTTATTTATATTGATTTTATATTCTTATTTTGTTTATATTATATTT